GAAAAACTGGGCCTGACCTGTACCTCAGATCCTTGTCCTCTTGATTCCTTAGGGACTTTTTTTCATTTCTGCTCCCTCAGCATCTTCAGTTTCTTTTCACTGCTTACTTCTGCCCTGTCCTTAAGCATGCACAGGATATACCTGTATTAAAAAATATTTGCCTGATCCTGCTGCTTCCTCAAGCCATCTCTTACTTCTCTTCCTGTATTTATTAGCAAACTTTCCAAACAGTCCACATCTGTGGCTTTCATTTTCTCACCCTCCTTCTTTGAGCCTCTTGATCTATCCCTTACTGCTTACAGTACTCATTTCTTCCTCCATGTTGTCTTTAACGCCTATTTTCTATACCACGTATTTTGCCAATTAATCAAACAATTTTGTATCATTTAAATATTTAATCTTAACAATCTTGTCGACTATAAATAAGCTGAAAGGATGAATTTATTTTATCTTTATCAAATAGCTGCTAGCACTATACAAATAGGAAGTACACATGAATTAGTACTGGATGACTTGATTTCATATTTTGAATGTAAGTATTTTAATCATAATTAAAGAAACATTAAAAAATGTTCATCGAAAAAGTCTTTTGCCAAAACTCTAAGATAATGCTTTTAATTCACCAAATACTCGTCAGGCTATACTAGGTTGAAGAGTGTCCCACCAAAAAATCATGCCCAGCTGGAATCTTAGAATGTGATCTTATTTGGAAATAGGTCTTTGTAGATTTAGCTAGTTAAGAAGAGGTCATACTGAATGAGGACAGGCCCTTAAATCCAATGATTGGTGTCCTTAGAAGAAGGCCATGTGAAGACATGCTTTTGCTGACTTGAAGGATGGAGAGGACTATGCAGAGAGACAGAGGAAGAGGGACATGTGGAGATGAAAGCAGAAATTGGAGCTATATAGCTGCAGGCCAAGGAACACCAAGGATTGCCAGTAACCACCAGAAGTTAGGAAGAGGCAGGGAAGGATTCTTCCCTGGAGCCTTCAGAGGAAGCATGGCCCTGTCAACACCTTGATTTTGGACTTCTAGACTCCATAGCTGTGAAAGAATAAATTTTTGTTGCTTTAAGCCATACAGTTTGTGGTAATTTATTATGGCCGTCTTAGAAAACTAATACAAGCACTCATTGTGTTCTGCAATGTTCTCAACACTAGATATGAGTGAGCAGAACGTGGAAAACTCCTGCCCTCAGAAAGCTTACATTCTAATGGCGGGGGGCGGGGCGGAGACATAGGAACAAATAGTAAGTAAATAATGTCACATGTTAGGTGGTAAGTACCACAGAAAAATAAAGCAGGGAAGGGAAAAATGAGTGCCAGGTCTGGGGGAGGCTGTTGTGTTCAGCAGCATGGTGACAGAAGGCCCCACAGATAAGATGGCATTTTATCAGAGACCTGGAGGAGGAGAGGGGTGAAAAAGAGAGCCCCAGGCAAGAGGAACCAGCAGAAAGGACAGCAAGTACAAAACTTCTGAGGTAAGATGAATGAGCGAAGAGGAGAGAGTAGGAGAGGAACTCAGAGAAGCGAGGTGGTGGGGTTCAGATCACATGGGCCTTGCCGGCCATTGTGAAGACTCTAGAGTTTACTCTGAGAGAGATGGGAAGCTGTTGAATTGTTCTGAGCAGAGGAGGATGTGATCTGACTTATGTTTAAAAATGACTGCTGTGTTAGTTTTCTATTGCTGCATAACAAATGACCACACATTAGCAGCTTAATATAATGTAGACATATTAGCTCAGTAGTTGGAAATCTAGCTTGGCATGGCTGGGTTTTCTGTTCAGAGTCACAAGATTGAAATCAAAGTATTGGCTAGGCTGAGTTCTCAGCTGGAGGCTCTGGGGGAAAAGCTGCTTTCAAGTTCATGCAGGTTGTTGACAAGATTCAGTTCCACATGGTTGTAGGACCTAGGGCCCTCTTTCTTTGCTGGCTGCCAGCGGGGGGCTGCTCTCACCTCCTACAGGCCGCCCACTTTCCTTACCATACGGTCCCCTCCATCTCCCAAGTTTCAGTAGCATGTCAAATACTTTTGGTGCCTCAAATCTCTGACTACCTCTCCTGTGAGCAGCCATGTAAATTCTGTTTTTTAAAGGGCTTGTGTGAGTAGGTCAGGTCCACCCATGTGCTCTGTTTTTTAAAGTGGACTGTGCCATAGAACATAACATAATCATCAGAATTAAATCCATCATATTCACAGTCTCAGAGATTAGGCAGAGATTAGTACATGGAGGGAAGGGAAGAAATTTGGGGAGCCATTTTAGAATTTTGCCTACCATAATCACCATGCCTGTTGTGTTGAGAATACACTATGAGGAGGTGAGAAGAGAACTAGGGAGATTTTTGCAATAATTCAGGTTAAAGGAGATGGTGTCTTGGACCAGGTTGGTAGCAGTGGAGATGGTGAGATATGGTAGAATTCTGATAGAACATGAAGGTAGACGTGAGAGGACTTGCTGGCCAACTGGATGTTTGGTAAGAGGAGACGCAGGAGAGAGTCCACCAGGAAAGTGGATGAGTGAACAGGTGGGGAATATGGGGGAATTGCCAGGCCACTTGATGTTGGTTTTGGATTTTTCTTTTCAGTATAATCAAACCATTTTAATTTTAATAAAATCCTTACTATGCGGATTAATTCCCACCCCCCTCCACCCCACCCCAGAAATTTTACAACAAAGATTTGAATTATCAGTTAGATTATTTTTGTCCATGTCAGATTAAACAGATGATAGCTTCTAGATGTTGTGAGGTTATTTCATTTGTTTCTGTTTGTTTACTTATTTTGTTTTATGGCCATTAATTATTTCAAATCCTACATTCTTGGGTCAACTTTTGCAGATCTAGTTTTTACCATATGTTTTTAAACTTTGTTCATTTTATTTAATGTTGACTGTTTCTGCCACATTTTCTCATTATAAATTGGATAAAACTATGACAGTTTATATATGCTTTTTATGAGAAAATTGTGAGTAATTTCTCTCAAATATTTCTGACCCACTCTATTGTCTCAGATTTGTATTTTCAAAGTTGTAAACTCAATTCTTCCCTATTCTTAATCACTTTGGATGCCAAGAGAAAAAAAGTGTTGGGCTCAAAATGCCCTCAGGATCAAAAAGGCAGAATCAAAACATGTTGCTTTGCAATAAACTCAGGTGATTAGGAAAGAAAGTGAGAAGAGGGGAAGAAGAGAGTTAGATGATTAGATTCTTTGGAGATAGGAGGTGGCTTGATATCTATTTTCTTTTGTCAGCAAACAAAATCTTTCTGATGTACTGAAAAGAGAGCAATAATAAAATATATCATATGCCTACATAGACTTTCCCCCCATTTCTTTCTTTTAGAATTTCCAATTCAACTTAGGTAATTTACCTTCCTCTTCCACCCTCCTCTTAGGTTCCTCTTTGTCCCACAAAGTTAAATCTTGATTCATCCAGTCCAAGCTTGGTGATTCATTCTCCTTGCCAGTGATCAGTATAGAAGTGGACAAATGACACGAATCTGACCAATGAGACACGAGAGAAAGTCAGCCTTGGGATGAAGGACTTCTGGGAATGATTTTCCTTCCTGATAGATTATAAATGAGAAACGAGATCTTTTTCTGCCTTGTGAAATAGCTGTATGAGCAAATGATGTGTTGCTGTAGCAGCTATGCTCGACCCTGAGAGGACAAGCCAATGACAGTCTGAAAATGGCAGAGCCGAAAGACAGAAAGAACCCGGGTCCTTGAGAATGTTGTCGGACCATTATGTTAACTGCCTTACTTCTGCACTTCCAATTATATAAAATGCTAATAATAGCACAACAAAAAAACCCTCCATAGTTTAAACAACTTTTGACCAGGTTTTCTATTACTTGCAGCCAAAAACATTCTGATATAATCCTCCTACAGAATCAGGGAGGTGTGAATTATAGGTGAACTGTATGTCTGAGAGCCAGTCTGATGGCTCCAGGATTAGAAGGCATGTATTCAGGCCCATCAATTATTAAACCTTTATGCTTGGTTGGTTTCTATTCAGACATCCATAGACGGCATTTATCATTTGCTCCTTAGTGCTTTCATAGCACTTTGATCATTTACTGGAAATACATATAGCATTTTTTTTTAAATCATAGTTAATGTTTATGTTTCCCTTAATAATGTGAATTATTTGAGGACAAGGGCCATATCTATCATTTTCACATCTCTAGTGACCACTAAAGTGCCTGACACATAGAAAATGCTTAATGAATGTTTGCTCACTTGGAGAATTACTTTATGTTGACATGTGTGTGCTGGGTGCATGAGGCAGAAGGACCCCCTCAACCCTACTGAGGAAAGCAGAAGCAGATTCAGTAGGACAAGGGAGTTAGGTTGGAAGGCCCACACTATAGATTAGCTCTTGTGGGAAGATATAGTCATGAGGGCAAGAGAAAATTCTTCTCTTTGACTATCCAGCAAGTTCTTCAAGGAGTCACCCTTGTCTCTGCTCGTCTTCATTCTTCATGTTCCCATACGTTAATTAACTCCAAAATACATCCTATCTTTTCTTTTCTTTTCTTTTCTTTTTTCTTTCTTTCTTTCTTTCTTTTTTTTTTTTACATCTTGAATGCTACCACTCTCTCCAATCTGCCATCATCTCTCACCTGAACAAACTACTCCTCACCCCACCATCACCGTTATCTACACAGGAGTCAGAGACATACTATAGAAAAGGAAATATGATCATCATACTCATGCTTAAAAGAACGAGAAAGCCTTTCTGTGTCTCTCTGTTCTATCATAATATTTTAGACCTAGCATATATTACTGTCTGACATTATTTCTGTGTTTGCCTACTACCTACATGCACCATGGATTATAAAGATCCACGATAGCAGGCTCCTCATTTCCACTGTTTAGTGCCAGATTCTTGTACCTGTAAGTAATACTGCCCTGCAGGAAACATTCAATACATGTCGAAGAGTTAAATGATATAGCATCTGGCCACCATAAGGCCTTAGCCCTGAAAAAATTTTAAATGGAATGAAAGAATAAAGAAATAAAGTAAAATAACAGGGAAACAGGAGCCATGAAATTCATGGACCTGAATTTGAGCAGGTGGGGCTTTAAAACAACTGAGAAAAACCAGAAGTCCGAGCCCCGCAAAGGTGGTGTTACAATGATAGTCAGTTTTGGGGGACCCAGTGTGAAGTCAGGAAAGAAATGTGTGGTGGTATCCATCTGATACTCACTTCCTCTTCTTTTATTATACATCCTGTATGACAATGGCCCTCAGGGTGCCAGGAATAAAGTCCTTGTTAGCTACGGCACTGTCTTAAATTATCTCTGCTTCTTGGGCCTTAGATGCTGAGTTATGTGACCTAAGCTCATGGCTCTACTTACTTCTCCAGTGAACCAAATAATCAAAAAAAAAAAAAAAAAAAGTGCACATTATGTATACACTTTAATAAAGCAAATGGTATCATTAAGTTTTAAAAAACTTCTTAGGAAGTTATAATTTCAAAGTACAATATAAAACTGCAAACACAGTACTTGAAAAGAATAAAACAGCTAACTCAGAAATTCTAACTTTGTGGTTTTAGCTTACTCTCAGATTGAGACACACCTTTTGGATGTCATAATGGAGCTATGAAGACTAAAGGTAAAAATATTTACAAGGTACTGATTTACAACAATTGTTAGCATCAAGCCATAAGGCAATGATTAATCATTAACTTAGAAATAACTCTCACCAAAGCAGTTCTTTAAACAGTTACTTATGGGAATCTGCAAACTCAAGGAAGGCTAGAGGTCAAGACTTGGATTCCTATGTTCTAGTATTTACTCCCCAAACCCTAAACTTCTATGCTGCTGTTTCTTCAGTGTAAAAAGTCAAGATATTAATATCTCTCTCTGATATGCACTGTCCCATGAAGATCAAATGATACAATATAAGGTGCATTAGAAAGAAAGCAAGTGTAATTCAGTGCAAACTAAATCTGGACCTACTGCTACTACTAAAAATACTAAATACTAAATAATACTAGTCAAAAGTGTGGGATGTTAGTCCTTGGCTGGAAAGTGTTGCCTCTCTCCAGCTTTACAGAAAAAGAGGCAGCGGGAGCAGCAAGTGCTTTTCCTCAGAATATTTAGCACCCAGGGATTAGCAGTCATGAAATTGTAATATAGAAATATAAATGGGAAGTAGTAACACTTATGCTAATATGGCTCCATTATTAACTTTATACTTGATTACAAGCTAACAGCATGATTTGGGTTTAAGAGCATCAGCTCTAGAGCCACATTGCCTAATCCCAACTCTGTAGAATTTCAAGCACATTCCTTAACTTTTTTGGTAGCTAGCTTCTGAGATGGTTCCAATGATCTCCACCACTAGTATTCATGCCTTTGTGTAATGCCCTCTCACACTGTGCCAGGGTTGCTTTGTGTGACCAATAGAATACAACAGAAGTAATGGCTGTGTTCCATCGGTCATACTTCTGAGGCTAGGTCATAAAAGGCACTGCAGCTTCTTAACTGGTTGCTCTCTTGAATTCTTCATTCTAAGGAAAGCCACCTGCCTGGCACCCTATGGAGAAATCTAGATGGTGGGGAACTGAGGACTCTAGCTAATAGCCATGGGAGAGAGCTTAGAAGTGGATCCTCCAGCTCCAATCAAGCTTTGTGATGACACCTTGACTGCAGTCTTATGATAGACCTTGAACCAAAGCCAGCCAGCTAAGCCACTGCCAAATTCCCGACCCATAGAAACTGTGACATAAAAAAAATGTTTGTTGTTTAAGTTTTGGGGTAATTCATTTTATAGTAATAAATAACTAAAACATCCTTTCAAAATTTCTGTAAATCCTCTGTAAAAATGTGATGATAATGGTATCTTTCTCAAAAGCATTGTTATAATAAGGGTCAAATGAGAAGAATATTGAGAGCCCTCAGCCCCACACTGATACATGGTGGCTGTTATTACATACCTTTTCTTCCAGGAGCAAAGTGGTCCTACATGCATTTATAGTCACAGTCCCCATAGGCCTCAGCACTGCGTTAAGTCATAAAATTTCAAGTATATAGATCCAGCTCTACGTGGTCCCTTTACTTCATCTTTCTCTAACTATCAGTTGGGCAAAGTCTTCTCTTTTTCTCTCTGATCCCTTTTTGAATGGGAGGCAAAATGTCTAAGAGAGAAAATTCTAAGGCACATGCTATGGCTAGGGAACCAAAAGGCAAAATAGCTGGCCTGAAAAAGACCAACCCACTGACCTCATGAGCCCTCGACAAAGGTTGACAATAGTTAACTGAGCTAGCTGGAGTCAATTCAAGCTTTTACAGAGCTCACTGTTTAGAAACTGTCCTCTGAAATATACAAAGCTTTCATTCAGTCTCATTTCTGTGCTTTTAAACCTGGAATAGATCCTGGACTTCCTCAGGCAAACTTCATAGATATTATCTTTTCTTTCTCTGATTATTCTTGTCTCCTTCACATTTGGGTTTTCTTTCATTACTTTACTGATGGATGGGTAAGCAGTCAAATTTCCTATGCACTGAAAGAAGGTATTGAGGAAATTTACTGCTAAAGCAGTAAAAGGAACAAAAAGAACAGATATGTTTCTGTCCCATAATAAAACTCAACAATAAAACTATTTGACAAATAACAAAATGTGATAAAATTATTTGATAAATATTTAAAAAACTCAGACTATAATATAATGTAAAGGGGAAAATAAAGGGATTATAAATGTTGAATGAGAAGGTTTTATTGCCACTAAGCCATGAGGATTTCTAGAATTCCATGATGAGTAAAGTATTTTTATATGTTTTATACTGATTCTCTGGGAAACAGAATGTTTAAATATGTAATATCTTTTTTAATAGTATATTTGAAGAATTTAAAACAAAATACAATTCTTTTATTATCTATACAGAAGGAAGTGAACTTTTAATTTTGTTTGGTGAAATAATTCCTGACCTCAAGGAGTTTTTATTCTAAAAAAAAAAAAAAAAAAAATGACAATAATATTAAGCAATCATCACCCCCCCCCACACACACACTCTCTCACTTTCCGGATGTGTCTAGTTCTGCTGAAGTCATTTTTTCATATGGAAACACTTAACCTTCCCTTAAATTGACCTCTCAGGGGATGGATTTGGGTTTGTTCATTTCTTCCTCCCTACTTTTGGCTGTTTATATCTTTGCTTTCCATATAGTCTAAGACTTTGTTGTTGTTGTTATTTTTCCTATCAAAATCTTCCTTCCTCTTCTCTTTTTTTCCCTTCCTTCCCATTTATATATCCTCTCTCCCACCTCCCTTCCTCTCTTCCTTTAGGTATTTGTTTGACTTTAAACCTAGATTAACAATACGAAAAACATTTCTTGGGTAATAACTCTGGATTCTTTGTAAGAATGCTGTCCCTTAAAGTGGCACAGCCCAGGAATAGCATGGCTAATCTAGCAAAAATGCTGCATTCCTGAGCTTTCAACTCTGTCCCTTATGAGAAGGCAGGAGTTGAAAAAAGATTTCGCTTTTCTCCTCAAATATACAGATTGTACATGCAAATTAAGAAATATGAGGAGATAAATAACTTGAGTGGTAGTGTAAATAAAACGCATAATGAAACCATATCTCCACTCAGTTGCCCAAGAGATGTCCTTAGCTACACTCCTCTTACTTCCTATGTCTCCAATGACCAAAGTCTAATCATTCACATTTCTGGGTAGCTCTACAGCTTCTCCTGGGACACTCCCCTTGCTTCCCCTCCAGGCTTGCCTCACTTCAATCTACCTTCCCACTGTCATACGCAACAGTTCAGGCACGCCCAGAATTCTCCAGCAGTTCTCCATAGCCTATCGATTAAAATCGAACTCTTTTTCCTGCTGCCCACCCTCTTCTCTTGCTAAGAGTCCTTTTATAGTTGAGATTAGAGGATCTAATCTCTCATCTCTGTGTTGACACATAGGCATTCACGTTTTTCTGGAAAATCTTATCTCCAGAGTCTGTTATTAACTATTCAACTCCCAACCCCTAGGCCCCCACAAAAGAAACCTCTTGTGAGAGTTCTTCCTGTGCTTTCCCAGAAGTAACACTTCTAACCCCAGGGAAGTTTGCTCAGGTCTCTCTTTATCACTGACTCATAATCATAGTTAGGTGGAGACATGTGAATCTCTAGGGAAGTCCCTATCAAGGAGATATTCTTGAAATATTTGTTCAAATTTCATTTGAAGAAGAGACTAAGTGCTCTTTAAGGGAAATGACAGCCCATTCCCAGGCTTCATGCATTACCCAATAAAACAAAACCCTTGTAGGTAATGTGACCAAACCACATGGAAGGCAATTACCTGACCCAAGCCCGTAGGCCATTTCACCATCCATCACAAGTGGCTTATCAAAATATAGCGTTCTTTCCAACATTCCCCAAGGAAAGTTCTGATAATTACAGTTTTACCCATCCTTCCAGTGATGTTATGGGGCCTCAGTGATGTTTTGGAGAAAATGCGGGCTGTTCTGATCACTTTTATTTATTTATTTTTTATTATTTAATTTTAATTTTAATTAATTAAATTTTTTATGATGACACTAGTTAACAAAATCCAATAAGTTTCAACTGTACACTTTAACAGTAAGGCATATATATATTTATACTGTGTGTTCCCATTGTTCTGGTTACTTTGATTTGTTTGCATATCCATTTCCCACTAGACTAAACTTGAGGTCAAAGATCTTTATATTTATAAAATTTGACCTTTGTCTTTGCAGCAACTAGCACAATGCCTGGAACATGATGTAAGTCATGTGAATATTTATTGATTGTATGGATGACCCATCCTTTGACTTTCTGTGTGTAGTTGCTTATATATACTGAGTACACTTTATTAAAATAGCTGTATTTTAACAGTTCACAACAAAAAGTCAAATATAAGTAGAGTGATGTCTGTCACTTAACAGTTGAAAATGGTGGTAACTTGCTTTAAGTAACTAAAAGTCAGTATCAATAGCTCAACACACTCAGTTATTTAACCTCTGGCATCTTTGCCTTGGCCCTGAAATTACCAGCAAACATGGTTTTTTATAGCTCTGTAAACTACTTCTGAACTGTCACCTTGAAATCTGGATAAGACCCCCTTATATATAAGCACTGTCTGCACATTTCCTGGGTTACTATACCATCCAGAGAAGACGCTAAAGTTAGCTGTCCAGAATGTGTAATACTGAAATGAAAGTCATATATTTAAAAGGAAATTTGGGCCAGAGGAGACCCAAAGGTCTAGTAAGGTCTCCTTACTAGGTATTCTTACTTGCTTGCCTCCAACAGTGTGTATTCCATTATATGAATGTTTTATATTAAGAGCTAGGGCTAAACTAAAAGAAATGCAGGTGGCTTTAAACGAAAGAATACACCAGACATCACTGATTCTACCCCCCTATGAACATCATCATGTAGTACACCAATTTTATGATTTAACTCTGAAATACTTCTATAAGGGGTCAAATAGTTATTTTCCTGCATCCGGACTCTTCAATTGATGGATTTCCATGATCCCGGAAGGAAAACTACCTGGGTGCCCTGTGCACTGCCATTTCTCACAACTGCACTTCGGGGCTTACTTCCTTATTCTTTCCGTCTCCTTGTGATAGATATCATTACAGCTGTCTGGGATCTTTAACACTGCCTCTTTTTGAAAAGCACGAACACGAAAGTTTTAAAAAATTTAAATTTAAATTTAAAGTGTATTAAATTTAGATTTAATTTTTAAAAAATCCTAAGACTTCTCCCTAATTTCAGGAAGTATATATTTGTTATACATAAAACGTGGCGGCTTCAAGGTTCTCGTAGCCTAAACACTGGAGACCCCGCGAAGTGAATCTTGCTGCTACACTTAGAACCAGCGGCAGCTCCAGGGAAGCCTCAGCTAAAACCTGGTGCACTGGTCCCAGCCCCCAGCAAAATCTCTCATTCTCCTCAACGTGGTAAAACAGAACCAGATTCTGATCTCCAACTGTCTTATCTTTTTCAGATGTTTCAAACTTACTGCCTTTGTTCAGCAGAACGGCTGGCACGGTGATGATGGTGACGAGCGCAGCAGTTCCCAGCAATCCTAGGAGCACCTTCCACTGTGTCTGCAAAGCCGGTTAGATCATGTTCAGTTAGAGCGAGCCCTTTGGCCCCAGTGTGGGTAAGAGGGTCGGGGCCTGGGCTGCACCTGAAGCAGAGAGATTTGCCTATAGGCGTGCACTGGAGAGGGGCACGGTGGGCTGGGAGGATTAAGAGTGAGCCAGTCCGAGGTTGCGAGAGCGGCTGCCCTTGAACTTGTGGCCTCCGAACACATTACCGTTTGCTTCTCTACGCCTGCACGCCAGAAGCCAAGTGAGGATTCGGGCTTTGCGATTTATTGGTGTTTCTCTGGATCGTCCAAGGATCAGCGCCTGGGTTCTATCAGAAACTCCGCAAGATCAAGAGCGAGGCAAGAGCTCTGGGACGTCCCTTCACCTGTCAGAGGGTGGCCCTGGAGCTTCTGCCTAATAAGAGCCCCTGAACCGGTTCCGTGGACAATTTGGAGGGAGTTTGGTGAAGAGACGCCTACAACTCAACCCGGGGGCTGGGGAAGCAGGAGGCGCGCTACTAACTCACCTTCATCGTCGGCGTCTGCTCGGAACTGAGCGTCCGGAGCGGGAGGGCAGACAGAAGTCAGGCGAGTCGCCGAGACTCGAGTCCAACTCCGCGGCTCCCGGCCGCGGAGTCACTCGGCTCTCCCAAGTTTCAGCCCCTAGTTAAACATTAGCGAGCGCCCAGCCGGCTCCGTATAAAGGGCCGCAGTGCAGGCTGCGGCAGAAGGCGCGCAGGCTTCTGACACTGGCATCCCGGCCGGGGGGCGTCCGAGAGGCACCTCACCCGGGCTGTACAAGGCGCGGGGTGGCAGCTGGGTTGCGCAGGGTGCGGAGCCCCGAGCACGCGCGGAAGCTGTTGTGAAAGCCTGAGCTGGGGTGAGCAGGTCCCTGGTATCCGAAGCGGAGAGCCAAGGCCGCCCACACTGAAAGGAGCCTTGAAGCTCAGCTTGGGCAGCCTCACGTGGACGGGCAACCGAACTGAGAGCACAGAGAGGGCAGGGGCTCTGCAAACTCACACAGCTCACTACTGGCAGCTGGAACAAAAACTTCTGGAAGGCAAAGAGAGAGAGAGAAAAGGTGATTGTTCATACGTAGAGGATCAGTGTCTGGATTCACCGCCCGCCCCCAACTCTTTCCTTATTTTCCTCCTTGTCTTGCAGACACCTCCTCTTCAAGATGCCAAAAATAATACTAACACCTATGTGTGACTTACTTTTTCCCAGGCGTTGCTCTAAGTTTTGCTGTGTTTATTTTACAGGGAAGAAGCTTAGGCACAGAGAGGTTAAGTCACTTGGTCACTTCACATGGCTAGGAAGTTATGAGCCTGAATTCAGAGTTTGTGTTATTAACCACTGCTCCAGATGGCCTCTTATCTTTCAGTCTTGCAAAGAAGATTTGGAGAAGAGAAAAAGATCAAGGGTGGCTCTTCCTTCCCCTAGCTCCCCATTATGACCTGCAGGTTCGTTCGTTAATTCATTCACTCATCTCTACATTTATTTATTCCATCCATCCTACTAATATTTGGACGGCTAGAAGGTACCAGACCCTCTTCTAGATGCTGAGATAGAGAAGTTTAACAAGACAGGTGAGGTCTGTGCACTTGGTGCTTTCAATATAAAATACACAGGTACCTAGCTGCCTCTAGGGCTTGTCTATGCCTCCTTCCTTTCTAGAGGTACTTCTGTACTCTAAAAGGCCTCTTCAGTTTGTTCACTGCAGCTGAAAAGCAAAGCCTCTCTGTCTATAGTTAGAGGCAAACAATTGAAAATGCAAAGTCCTATTGAGCATTAAAATATGATTATGAATAAATTCAAATTTCCATTCTTTATCTCCTTTCCAGACTTTGCTTCTGCACTCGGATCTTTTCTCCTCTTGACCACTAATTGCTTGTGATATATACATACACTTACCCACACCCACCTCTAGAAGCTCAAACTGAACTCTTCATCTTCTCCATGACCCTTGCCCCACCCTTCTCTGATCACCACCATCTTCATTAAGTATCTCCATTCACCATTCAAAAACACTGAAAACTTCAGTCATTTCAGATTTTCTTCTTCATTGTCCTGCTACATTCACTTAGCTACCAATTACTCATCAATTCTGCCTTTACAGGTATCTCTCAAATCCATCCCCTCCTCCTTCCAACTGTTTGCAAAAGTGAGTCAGTGGTGTTACTGGAGACTGTGAGCTAAGGCTGTGAAGAAAGACCATCCAACAAGGACTACAGGGAATGGTGCCATTTTGGGGACTTAGAATTGGCCTCTTCTATCACAAGTTTGTACACTCAGCAATGAAGGAGGGAAGCTACAAGTCGCATGAGCCTTTGGGAGGGACATCCATACACCTGAGCCTATGCTTAACCTCCATGCCTACACCGTGGCACTCTCTATCCAGCAGTTTCTGGGGAGACTGGAAGGAGATTGGCTGACATCCATGGGACAGATCATCTTGTTCTGTGGAGGGCATCCCATGAAACACAAATATCTTCACACCATACCCACTTCAAAAGACTCTTTTACATATCTCCCTCACCTTGACCTCTATGTCACCAATCTTTCAATCTTGTTTTTTTTTTAAGTTTCCAGGAACCAGCTGGTCAACACATTAGCCACCACCTATGAGTCATTGTAACCTTACATTAGGCCATCTCTCTTCCTATGCACAACGGAAAAACAGATGTACTACTCTAAGTTCTGTCTGTTAGGAAGATTTCTCGATATCTGCTTACTTTGCATAAAGCCAATTCTTGTCCCTCTCCTGTTGCTTAGTTACACTGTACTCCCTATGCAAATATAGGTGTGTGTTGATGGAGAGATATTAAAGCAGTGGGAGAGGGCACCATGGAGTCTAAATTTTCTGCTCATGTGATTTTCTTGTGCCTCTGGAACACTTGGGCTTGTCTCCTATAGCCTATAGTTACCATTTCCATTTAATAATGGGATGTTGCTGAACACGCCCAACCATCATATGGTGGACCAGGTAACAACCAGTTCATTACGGGTAGTTCAGGTTATATAGTTACTTGGTACTATGGGTAGAATTGTGTCCCCTCCAAAAAAAGAGATGTTGAAGTCCTAATCCCCAGAATTTCAGAAAGTGACCTTCTTTGGAGATAGGTCTATAGGTCCTCGCAGAAATAGTTAGGTTAGAAATAAGTCATTAGAGTGGGCTCTAATTCAATATGACCGGTGTCATTATAAGAAGGGGGAATTTGGACACAGAGACATGCTTAGAGAGATGATGTGAAGAGTAAAAAGGGAGAAGACAGTCGTGTATAAGCCAAGGAGAGAAACTTGGAACACATCCTTTCCTCACAGGCCTCAGAAGGAGCGAACCTTGCCAGTCCCTTGATTTGAGACTTCCAGCCTCCAGAACTGTGAGACAATAAATTTCTGTTGTTTAAGCCTCCCATTTTGTGGTACTTTGTTATAGTAGCCCTCGCAAATGAATATACTTGGTGTTCCATGATCAAGCTTTCAGTCTTTACCAAGACCCAATAGAAAGAGAGGAGATGAAGGGGTTTGGGGGAACGGGTGGCAAAGGTGAAGGTGAATAAAAGGCACAAACTGCCAGTTACAAATAAACCATGGAGATATGGAGTACAGCATAGGGAATATAGTCAATAATATCATAATATCATTTTATGATGACAAATGGTTGCTAAGCTTAATGTGGTGATCACATTGTCAGGTACCTGTATGTCAAATCACTTTGTTGTACAGCTGAAACCAATATAATATTTTATTATTACTAACATAATATTGTACAACTATACTTAATACAAAATAATAAAAAAATAAAACAATTCTGAGGAAGAAGGACTTAAAGATGGGCAGAACAGAGGAAAAAGAAGCACATAAAAATAAAAAGAGAGGAGCTGATTTTCATACAGTGAATAGTCATTGGCTGTTGTAGCCATCATCCAAGATGAGCCCCCAAAGTTTTGGGGTATTTTATTATGCATCAATAGATAACTAATACATTGACAAAGAGGTCATGGCTTTGTTCTAAAAACCCTAGGCATTTCCTATGAGGGCTTACTGGAAGCTCTATACAGTGTCTCTGACTGCTGGGTCATTAAAATCCCAGTATCAAGGCAGCTTGCACTATAGCCTAGACTTGGGGAGCCCTCTCTTACTCTAGGCTCCATTCAGAACAGACAGCCTTACAGGTTACTGAACAAATGGGTCAGAAAAGTACAGCTATTTATTATATACGGTGTCTCTAAAAGCCAAAGAATTCTGACAAATATTGCTCCTCTTCGTGGTGGGCATACAAGGTATAGTGACTTAACTTTCACTTTAGAGGGCATATCCTTACATACTTCAAACCACTGGATGCTTTGAAAGTTTCAAAATTTTAATAAGATTCATCTTCTACCCTGTGGCCACATTTATCTTACTAGAGCATGTAGGGAACTTGCTGCTTACTGTACACCAGGTTCTATTAGCATAATGTCATTAATGTAATGGACCATTGTGATGGTCTATAGTATAGGGAGATGATCAAGTTTTTGGTAGACTATATTATTATGGAGAGCAAGAGAGTGGACTTAGCCCTGAAATAGATGGTGAAAATATATTGCTGCCCCTTCCAAGGAAAGGCAAACTCTTATAGATGGCCCTTGTTAATTAAATTCAAGAAAAAAGTGTTCATCAGGTTAATAGCCCCAGATATTATGACTGTATTATTTGACCCAGTAAAGTTACCATACCTGAAAAGATAACTAAGATTGATCCATAGTCATTTTATACTTTGCACAGGCTGAACAGGAAAGCCAAATAACTATAAGACAGGAAACCAGCACTCGTGCATATTGCAAATTTTTACATAGTGACACTAATCTCTGTATTTGCCCAGAGAAGAAGTATTACTTTTGGTTTATCATATGGATGTGCAGAGACAGTTCCAGGGGCTTCCACTTGGTTTTTCTGACCATAATCTCTCTCCATGGCTCAGGAGATAAATGAGCCAAGGAATGTAGGCAGATTTCAGAAGCTGGAAAAAGCAAGAAAATGAATTCTACCCCAGAGTCTCTAAAAGAAACTCAGCTCTAATAACACCTCGATTTTAGGCCAGGAGAACCAATTTCACACTTCTGACCACCAGACAATAAGGTAATAAATTTATGGTGTTTAAGCCACTAAATTTGTGTTAATTTGTTACAGCAGTTACAGGAAACCAATATACCACAGGATCATACTGGTGTTTTAATGCCATAGCAATTAGTAAAAACCTAGGGCCAGTATTTAATAACTCCTATGGCGTTTCAAAGGACATTTTTAAACCCAGCGATATGTCGTGTGTCTTTCTGAGGAAGACTTGGAAGAAGATTTAAGATATGAACTGTGGTGGCATTGCAGGCTCCTTTCTCAAAAACAATTGACCTTCATTTCAAACAAGGCATTCTGAGTTTATGAGCTGGTTTGAGTCTGGAAACTTGATAAGAGGCCATGAATTTCTATTATGCAAACTTAAGTGCGATTTCTGCACCAGACATTAGAATTTTTCTGATTGTTTAAATGAATCTATAGTTTAGAATGCTGCCCGTCTACTTCATTCTTAAGTACCCCCATGATAAATGAACCACCACCATGCAGATCAAATTCTCTTATTACCAGAGTTACCCCTGTAGCTGTTTGTGGTAATAGCCTCTTTTAAGAACCTGTGGCTTGAAAGTAGGGTCA